TTACCAAACTAACCAATTTTAATTTTGGGTGCTTTCTTTGGGCTGAAAGAACTCGTAAATTCTGAGGAGTACGTATGGACATTGAAGTGATATTCTATAATAATTTGCGCGAACTAAAGACCAGTGAAGTTTTTTGCTGCTATTTATGCAGCTGCAGGTAAACCACAAGTGATTGGCATGATAATAACTAGAGTATGCATAAGCATTGAGGCCCTTAATACCTATGTTGCAGGAATTTCTCGTTGTACGCCTTCAGCGCCTGCTGCAACAAGTGATGAGAAGATTCCATTCGTGCGTGACGAAACATTGCTACACGCTTTGGACCTGCTAATTTTGTACCTTCGCATGGTACACTCAATCGATTTCTACGGTCACATTGAATACCCCAATGAAGATGCAATGCCCAACAGGTAAGCGCCATTCAAATTTCATGAATGTCAATCAAAGTTTTCAACATTGAGGAGTTGTCCTTAGAGATTCTGTATTAGTTTGCCTAGATAGACGTGTTCTTTCTTTTGCTAACAGCGGCTCAGCTTCAGCAAGAAAGTCTTGGCGACTGAGAAGTCGGCCAAACTTGAGCGTGCCATATGTGTAACTTCAATTTCAGATGTGGTATGCTGCATGTGCGTGGCGTACTTCCCACACAATTCGGCAGTTCGGAGGATGGAACTAAGCTGGTTTCAACCAAGTTTAACACAGTAGGAAATTCCTGCGGATTTTTTATGAATAGGAATTGCCATCTCAGTGTTTCTTCATTTGAACTTCAAATTAGTTTGTTGTTTGTGTAAATTGTTTTATTAATATTTTTGGTGTGTTTCAGGAATTTATAAATGGTTTCAACCATCGTCTCGAAAGCGGTCTGATGCAGGCTTCATATGTCACACCTGATGAAATGGAAAAGATGGGGAAAAAAGACGGTGATAAGTCAGTTGGATAGTTATTCAATGATTACAAGATTCCGTGTTATTAAAGGTCTCGCTAGTGAATTCTGAAATCTCTGTCTTCCAGAGAGGTGGAAGCGTTTATTCAAGCGAATACTGTGGAGCTAGCTCAAGACAAGTGGTTATGTCCACTATCCGGAAAGAAGTTTAAAGGACCAGATTTTATTCGTAAACATCTCACGAGTAAACATGATGAGAAGCTGCGTGAAGTGCGCGAGGAGGTTTGTAATTTTCCCTGTATGCATTCTCAAAAGAGGATGTGACAACAAAATCTGTGTGGAAGAAAGGACGTACGTCTACTACGTAAGCACGGTAGGCTTCCGAGGAAGCGGGTAGAGACATGTTTCGAGGTGAAAGACGTGCCCATCGATACATAGCTGGCCCTAGTCCTGCCAAGCGCCACCTGCCCTGGCGTGGCCCGCCTCCATTTAGGGGAATGGCCGATGTCAGACTTTGCGATTGGAGCGATTTTGCACCAATTGCAGGAGCGACGGATCGCTTGAGCGAGCAGTTGGTGCAAAATCGCTCCAATCGCAAAGTCTGACATCGGCCAATCGGGGTATGATTGGTTGAATGACGATTCTGACTGCCCTACTATGCCCTTCACTTTGAAGGGGCGTTAAATGTTAAGAGCTTGTATCTCTCAGTTTTTTGGTAATGCGTTACAAGAGAATGATTGATGTTTATTGACATCGTACCAGCTGTTGGGATTAACACGTGCAAGTGAGCACGGCTTGGACACTGACTCATCAAAAGCGGGGACCAAGGCGGGGGCTTAGAAAAGTCCCACTTTGCTTTGAGCCGTTCTCTCAGATTCTTCTTGTCCAGTGCACACTTTACCAACTCTTCGTTCATCTCCAGTGGGAAACGGTTTTTTGTTTTTTGTCACATCTGCCTTTTAACGTGTACGAGAATTATATAGCATAGTAAGAGAGATTCATGAGAACTTATATATCTCCATCGTGTTTAAGGCAACCTTCTACAACAATTATCTCGCCGATCCGAATAGACCTGCTAATGTGGAGGTGAAGCCAGGCCCTGCCCCACCACGAGAAGAAGAGCGTCGCGAGGATAGATACCGTAGGTTTTTTCTCTGTAAGCTCAGTGTCAGACTTTACGACCAATCACAGAGAATTGCGCGATTGGTGTTATAAGAAATGGTGAGTATCCGGAAGGAACCAATTAGTGTTTTGATGTTGAAAAGAGTCCATAGCTGATCTTCGTAGATGAGACACACACGCTGCTTGCGGGCTAGGGCGTTTGTCACAAGGTTGGTTACCGCCAATGCTTGATTTATTTCGAGTGGGAGATATGAGTAAGTAAATAAAATCGTTGGAAGCAGGTTTGTAAGGTTATAGTCTAATCTCCTCTTACTTGGAAGTGGCGGATATGTTATCGGTAACTATGTCTATGCAAAATCATTCCCGTCCTACATATCTCGTAATTAGTTGTAATTCGGTATCACAAACCATATTTGATTAGTATAAGGCTAGCTTGGGAAGTAAGTATGTGATGTTCAGAGAAGATCGACAATGAGACCGCAGCGATCGGGACGGAGATCGTAGCTATACGAGCAGTGTGGACCGCCGAAATCGTGGTTACGCTGTTTTGGGAAGTGGTGGCCCGCCACGCGATCGTGGTCCGCGTTTCACACCTGAGTCGGCACGTCCTCTCACATCTTACAGGGACTTAGATGCTTTTCCAATTGATTGAGTACATGGTTTTTCCTATTAATTATCCTTCGGTGTTATCTCATATGTTACTGTACTTCATTATTTAAGAAAGTTATCGTTATTGTTTGCAAAACCCATTTCCGTTCTAGCGTGATGTGTAGCAATGTTCGCACATTTTTACTGATATTTATTTATGCTGTTCAGCTGGTAATGTTTTGCGAGAAGTGGAAAAAGTATTGATCTTTGTTCTGGGCAAACTGTAGGTTTGGCGTTGCTCTTGAACGAAGTGTGAAGATTGCTGGTCAGATAGTTTAGCCATTACCATAATCGGTATTCAAAACGAGCCTTTCTTTTGAGAGTCAAAATAAATTGCCGACCTGCAAAAGCTAAAGGCACGTGCGTTAACCGGCTTTGGTTAGCTATCCTTCGACAGGTAATAGATCACGTATTGTTCTGTTATAATTTCCACCTTTGTGATTGTATTTCTAAAAAAAATTGTTGAGTAAAATGCTTGGATGTGACTGCGGTTTCTACAAAAACAGCACGATAAATTAACTCGTGATTTCGGTACGAGCATGTTCTTCATAAAAGGAAGCGAGTCGCGTTATCGGCTTAGAAGAGTAAGAAATAGAGTTCACAGGTGAAAACTATCACTCCAGTTCGGGGGGGCCACTCCATTTTTTCTCCAATACTCAAGATAAGGATTAGAGGGCTCACGACACGTAATCGACTCATTTAAAGTAGACTTCTGATAAATATCGGTGTAATGGGTGAGAAACCCTGAAACGTTTTCACAGTTCCATGAAATACTTGGTTGTAAATGTATGATAATGAGAGTACACAGAAACCCTGACGCTGGTCTTCCATATTCCGCCAGCCATGACCCACAGGGAACCAGGTCCTGGACAGGCGAAAGGAACCATCTCGCAACATGGCTAAGGCGGGTACCCCCCCCAGCACAGGCCCTGTCGCGCGGCAAGAAGGCAGAGTCGCGGACGAGTCGCAGCGCGTGAGCGATGTAAGACGTACAATGGAACATTCTATTTAACTTGACGCGAAATCCCTACAGTACGCGCGGAACTCGTCCGCTGACTCGCCTTCTTGTCGCGCGACGGGCCTCCTGCCTCCGCGCCCCGCTCACAGGGCCGTACCATGGCCACTAAGGGTGCAGAACGCTCAGGGTGGATCACCTGTGCAGAAAAGTGGATGGGATGTGGGCAGGTAGTGTGGAATGTAGGACATCCACCGGTCCTTATCAAAAGTACGCTCGAAATGAGTCGTTCACTTATTATCTTATCCGTAGTGTTCGATAGCCCAAAGAACTGCTCTCTAGTACTACGGATAAGATAGCAATGGAGTGGCCCCCCCGAACTGGAGTTTCACCGAGTTCCACACATCGTTGACGGAAAGGGACAAGATAGAGATGGCGAATCGTTGAACAAGCGTAGCCCCATGGAAGATAGGATACGAGAATATGGGATGTACGGCTGGTGATTTCTTTGAGTGCTGTCTAATGGAGTCGTTTGAGCAAGATGGAATTGATCAGATATCTGCTAGTGTGACGACATGGTATAGTGGCAAGTGGTGCAAGCTGGTTGAATTGTGCGTCGTCTGGGTCAACCAAACCTTCCGTCCCTGCGGAGCAGGGTCAACCGTCCTCCGATCGCCAAAAATTTTACCATCTTTTGGGAGTCTCGATACGACTCTCACCACCACCATACCATCAGGCTTAGGGGGTCTCCCTCGACCACAGCCCAAATCTGCTCACTTTTTCCTCTTAGAATAGCTGCCGTCCAGTCGGGGAAGGAGGGGGGAGAAAACCTGTGTAATGACAAATCCTCTACTTCTGACTACATCGTGCTTACTAATTCGAATATCCATCAGAATTATCAGAGAACCGACTGAAAACGATTCCCTATACCGCAAGTACGCCCCCTTTTTCCTAACTGTTCACCTTTACCACCCCCTCGCCTCCTACAAAAGAACTCATGTACGAGCCCCTTGTTAAAAACTGTGCAACACACGGTTGACCCTGCTCCGGAGTGGGTTGATTCGGTACCAGACTTGTCTGGGAGGATAAAAACACTGACTTGTACATCGGCTGGCCTCCGCAAGTCATTGTATAGGCCACATCGCATTCAACGCCACTACGAATGTACAAATGGAAGTAGAATGCGTGCCGCATCCCAAAACGGGATTTGTTAACGCTCATTCAACCTTTTCAATGAGACGACAAAGTAAGTTCTCTGAATGAAAAATGCAGAAAATAGATAAAACCCTTTTGAACTAAACTTCAAAGTTATTTTTGTATTAGGTTGGAAAGGAAGTCCTCCTACGCTTTTCCCTTTTTTCGATTTTAATTTTATCTTTTTTGTTTACTACTCTTGGCCAATTGTATGCCTACCATGGGTGTCTACCATTTGCCTCAAACGCTCAGATATTTTCTCAACGTTCCTTTCAAAACGTGGCCGGATGCGGGTCCAGAGAAGCAGGCGACCTTGTTTTCGAATTAAGGTTGATCGTCAAATTATTTCATTGCAAAAAGGTGACTGAAGGTCTGGAGTAAGTGATCACCCTTTAGAACGTGACCAGGGGACTACGCTAGGTGAAGTGAGAAATCTCGCCGCAGCTCCAGAATTCCTCAAATCACTCCGGACATGGCGATTCGCTATGATAGAAATAAACATCTTCGCGGTACGGGTACTTTTGACGAGCTGTCTCGGTCAGCTTCCGAAGTTCTGCAGCGTAGACCTCCACCTTCTCAATGGTGCCCATATCGAAGTAAAAGCGTGGTAGTGATGAAACACGCTGTAACGGTGAACGACATTTCCGTCGAAGCAATTGCAGATTCGTTGACATGAATTATAGTTATGAATATTGTAAAAAAAACAATTACT